CAAGCTGCAGGTTTTGATTTATAGCTTATGGTAAAACAGGAGAAATATGGAGCTAGTTCGGTCTCAAATTCCACAAATAAACACGTGTGATTCATACATGCACAAAAACATCCACACGTGCACAAAACAAGATTCACCAAAGTATTTCTGGTCCATAAAAAAAATTATAAACGAAATAACAAAGTACCAGTGGTCTTTAAACTTCGCTGCTTTTATTGTGGATTTTTGAGGCTGCCCTGACGCACCTCCATACATGAATGCATTTTTCTAAACAGGGAAAGGTTTAACAATAATCACAAAGGTGACTGGAACGCTGCCTGATTGTTAAAGATGGTCTGAAAGTGTCCATGTTGTCCACAGACCTCAGCGGGACCATCAGCACCCCCGATGTTAAACTGAACATGGCCAGCGACGGCGGCAGGGATCCGTACGCCACCACCTTCCTGAGGCAGCGAGGCTACGGCTGGTTGTTGGAGGTGGAGGAGGACGACGGCGAGGAGAGCAAACCTCTGCTGTAAGCCAGAGCTTCTGGGGAGGATTCAGTTTGTCTCTGCAGAGGAGCGCTGCTGGCTGTAAAGCTGGGGGGTCTATTAATGAAGGCAAAGATAAATGTTCTCATGGAAAATGTTGGGAGGGAACCATCTGTTAAGCCCCTGTCACACCTTGATGATTTAGACAAGCGTATGCCTGACGTACGAAAAATCTGGCAAAAATGCTGGCATACGTTGGATAAGTTATGGGTACGTTTTGTATAAGTTATGAGCTGAAAAACGCTGGCAAGTGCGTTGACATATGCCATAGGTGGGCCATAAGTTCCAGGTAACTTATCTGATCGTATGTTCAGTGTAAGTTACTCATAAGTCGTGGTGTCTAGCTTATCCAAAACCTATGAGTAACTCATGTGTAAATTATCAAGAACGTCTCTCCAACGCATATCAATGTATCTGACATGTTCCAGACAAACAGTGAACGTGTTTCTAACTTCCAGCTACTGTATAATGGCGTATTGGCAGCGTTTTGGTATCAAGGGTTCACAGGAGGAAACAGTCAGTTCTCCTCCAGACTTCATGGTGAGCAGATGTTCCACAAGAGATGGAGGATCCGGCAGGTCTGAGACGGAAATGCATACTAGCTGTCCTCCAACATCAGCATGATCTCACCAATTTGTTCCAGTTGTAGGGTGAGAGTGAGTGTGACGGATCCGAGTCGCCCTCGAATTTATTTTGTTAAAATAAATGACGTTTTCCCTCCCCAAAAATAGTAAACATGCTAAAATATAATGTATTAAGGATTATCTTTCTGTTTTATCAATCTGTGCCCGATCTGCACTGGAAATAGGATCCTACGCTACTCCTGGGAGCTAACTTTTATGGCTTTGGATTTAGACATAAATCTAGTCTTTTAGAGTTTTATGTTTTCATTTTAACCTTATGCTATATAGTGCATAATCTAAAGAAAAAAATGACCAAAATGCAGATAAACATGGTTTAATCATATTTTGCCGGACTGCTCTGAGCATGTCCACTGATGAAGTAGGAGAAGCAGTTTAACTGAGAAAATGTAAAAAGAATAAAAATTGTCTTACAAAAGTCATAAAACATTTTTTACAGATGTTTATTAGCATTCTTTAGTGAGTTAAGGATAGAAATAAGTAGTTTTAGTACCATAATAATTACATTATTTATGGATACCCGGATGTATATATATTCACGCATGGAGGGAGCGGGTAGTGACACGCCAACTACCAACAAACTTACCAGCAGACATGACGCTAAATCTGATGTGGCTGCAAACCTTCTTTCTTTTTTTTTTTTTGCCATTTAGCAGTTAGGTTAATACCTCAATCAAGGACATCTTTTTATGCAGACCGAGCGGCTCCTCGGGAGCTGCGTAATGCTTCGTAATTACGCTGCCGTGTGTTATGCATAAGTTAGACTCGTTGGACAGAAGTTCTGGACTCGTTATAAATACTCTATGTATACGCCCAAAATTGGAAAAAAAAATACATAGAAAGTTCAGCTTATGCAGCGTTTTAGGAGATTCTTGGACATCAGGAATACGCTGGCTAAATCAGCAAGGTGTGACAGGGTCCTCACTGTTCTATTATATTTATTTTGTACCACTTTAACCTGTCAGTTTACAGTTTGTAAATATTGTGGTCAAAGACTTTTGTACCATTATTGTAAAAGAAAACATTCTGTAAACATTTTAAAAGAAAGTTTTTTAGGATGGGTTGGCTTTTTTTCTTATTTTATGGATTTTTATTTGTTCAGGTTGTTTTAATAAAGCTTTAAGTTTTCCAGATCACATTGGCTGTAGTTGTGGCGCGGGCTTTCCTCTGGAGAGACGAGTGTTTCTATTGGTGTTTGGTTATTGGATGGTTTTCAGTCAGAGCGCCTCTTCGATTATTGTGAAGTGGACGTCTGAAGGTGACAGAGATGGTGGCCGATAGGAGCTTCAGCCTAACGCCTGGTCTGTGTGAGCAGGGAGGAGCTGGACATCGACCTGAAGGACATTTACTACAAGATCCGATGCGTGCTGATGCCCATGCCGTCTCTGGGTTTCAACCGGCAGGTGGTCCGAGACAACCCGGATTTCTGGGGCCCTCTTGCCGTGGTGCTGCTGTTCTCCATGATCTCCATCTACGGACAGTTCAGGGTGAGTGAGGATTGGCCGTTTCCCTCAGTGGGTCAGAACACACACACTGATGAGCGTGCTTTCCCTTACAGGTGGTGTCCTGGATCATCACCATCTGGATATTCGGCTCTCTGACCATCTTCCTTCTAGCCCGTGTTCTTGGTGGTGAGGTAGGAGGCCCATTTAGAAGTTCTGTTGGATCCAGATATCCTCAGTGTGTCAGTGCTCGCTCTGTCTGCTGCAGGTCTCCTATGGCCAGGTCCTTGGAGTAATCGGATATTCCCTTCTTCCTCTCATCGTCATCACCCCTCTGCTGGTAGTGATGGGAGGCTTTGAAGTGGTCTCCACGCTAGTCAAGGTGAGCTCTGTGGGATCCGAACGGGTTTTCTTTAGATGTTCTGAGATGGAGCCTTGATCTGTTCGATGGGGTATTAGGGCCAGGAGAAAAAAAAATAAAGTAGTAAAATTACGAGAATAAATTCGTAGAATTACGAGAATTAAGTTGTAAAATTACGAGAATAAAGTAGTAAAATTACGAAAATAAATTCGTAGAATTACGAGAATGAAGTCGTAAAATTACGAGAATAAAGTAGTAAAATTACGAGAATAAAGTAGTAAAATTACGAAAATAAATTCGTAGAATTACGAGAATGAAGTCGTAAAATTACGAGAATAAAGTAGTA